AAAGAAATATATCCCATGCATCGGCCAGGTTGAATTTTGACTGTACCAATAACATGGCCGAATACGAAGCATGCGCATTAGGAATCCAAGCAGCTCTAGATCATGGGGTTACTAAACTCAAAGTCTTCGGTGATTCATCCCTTGTCATCTATCAACTTAAAGGTGAATGGGAAACCCGAAACTCCAAATTAATCCCATATCTAGAGTACATCTGTGATTTAGTCTCAAGAATGGAAAGCGTCACCTTCCAGTATATTCCTCGGGAAGACAATCAATTTGTTGACACCCTCGCCACTCTGTCATCCATGTTTTCTTTGGGTCAAGAGCATGAGATGCCAATCATCCAAATTAAGTTGCATGATAAGAAAGCTTTTTGCATGACAATAAATGACGAGTGCGATCAAAACCCTTGGTATCACGACATAAAGCAATACCTCATGAAGGGCGAATACCCCGAAGGAATCAATGATAATGATAAATGAATGTCGTCGTCATCAAAACGAGGCGGTCGAAGCGACGTGATGGTTTCGACTTTCCATTTTTTGCGTTTTTTTTGGTGTGGTTACAACGCCTTTAGGTTGTCCGATAACCGGGCTGAACCTAGAGGCAAGGTTTTCGAAAGGGCGCTCTTGGGTTGTCCGATAACCGGGCTAACCCAAGAGCTGATTTTTGAAGGGTTCTCTGGAGTCGCCACTGATGTTTTTACCGGAAACATTGGAAAAGGAGTAAAAAAGGCGTTGGTTTTCGAAAAACCAACTTTGGTCATTAGAACCAGAGTTGGGTAAGGGAGTTAGTTACGCGTAAAGGAAGTGTTAGTTCCTTTACGGCACCCCTTTCGGGTTCCCTATGATAGGCCAGCTATTTAAAAATAATTAAACCGGTGAAAATACGTTTTTACCCTTTTATTTGCGGAATTTTAAACTATGACTACATGGCCCTAATGTCTATTGCGTAATTTAAAATAAGGTAGTAAAAGATAGAGAGAGAAAGTATAAACCTCCGAAGCAAGCTTTTCTATTAATTCTTTGAGTACTAGGGTGCTTTTTGGCAGCCCTCCGCTCGTTACAATGCCGAAAATGCTCAAAAACACTCTAGAAAACTCTCAGAAACTCCGGAAATGCTTCGGAGGGGGTCTAAAGAGAGAATTTGAAGAAAAGTCTAGAGAGAAGGAGGAAGAACTGTGGGAAATGAGGGGAATGGGGCTCCTATTTATAGGGATTCGCGCCTGTCAGGTCGAGATGAGCTGTCTCGTCTAACAAGGTCGAGACGGCCGTCTCGCCTTGCAGGAATGGAGAGACGGTCGTCTCGCCAAACGAGACGGCGGTCTCGCCACCTTCGCAAGGCGAGACGGCGGTCTCGACCCTAAAAGAAGAAAATGCTTATTTTTATTCCAAAAATCCCTCCTATCCTAGTATGGGGCCTAATAGTCTCTCCTAATGGCTTCTTAGGCTTCATCCATCTTCAAAAAGGAGGTCTTCTGGTCTTTATTATGAGGCCGGGCAAGATTTGGGGTCTACAGCTGCCCCCCCTTTACCTGACTGGTCGACTGTTGGCCTGTTGTGTCAAGGAGGTCGACTGGAGGATAAAGGAGTTGACCCTCTTGCCTGGCTGGTCCTTCAGATGCTCCGTCCTTGTGGCGGTTGATCTTCTGGGAAAAAGTGTGCTTCCAGGACGCTTCTTCTAGCGGTAGCCGATCCTTTGGGCTGATGAGTACGAACCCTCATCTGGTTTGACGAGTATGAACCCTCGCCCGGTGAGCCCCGTTTTGCAAGGCCCGATGAGTATACACCCCCATCTGGTGTTTGACGAGTATGAACCTCCGTCCGATAAGCCCCCTTTTGTAAGGCCTGATGAGTATACACCCCCATCTGGTGTTTATGCCTCTGGATGCTCCTTCTTATGGTAGCCGATCCTTCAGTTGTGGTGGCGGCTTACTGCTCTAGCTCATGCGCCGAGCACTGAGATGTGTTCTCTTGTCTTG